CCTTCCGAGCAAAAACCTCAATGTGAGAGACACCCCAAAAATCCCATCCTGCCTTCCCTGAGGAGCTATGAGGCAGAAAGCCAGAAGTGGCTGGATATCCCCACCTTCTCTCACCCTCAGCAGCGCTTCCTCATGGCTTTATTTTGGGTGGAGAGAGGCCCATGAATTTTTTAAACCAATATTGAAGCTTCTCTTCCCCTCTTGCATGCCGCAAGGGGCTCTGCAGATGGGCAGGAGATGCAGATACCAAACTGCTGCTTTTTGATTTTTTCTTCTCTCCCTCCTCTTTTCCACTTGGGCATAATTTGGAATGTCTTTCACAAACGTCTGTGCTACCAGGCAAGTTTTAAATAAGTGATGAGGAGGCCCTGCTCTTCTAATGGTGGCAGTGGTTAAGGAAAAACTCCAAACATGGGTCAGGGCAGCTTTTAAGGCAAGGAAATGGGACATGAATAAGGAATAGGTAGGAAATGTGATCATTCCAGGGAAACCAAACCCGTGGTGTTGGTGGGAATTGGAGCTCTGCTCGTTTCTGTCTCCACTCAAGTTAAATTTAAAGAGTTCTGGGTCAGGTTTTATCAGTGAGAGAGGGAAGTCTGGCTGCTGCTTTGTGGTGTCTGGATGGATTTAGTGATAAACGCAGCATTAAATCCCCCTCCCTTCCCATTCCCCATGGGCTTTGTCCTGCCCAGACCCACAGGAATGAAATTCAGGAATAAAACTACTTTAGGCACAGGGGTGTTAGCCCAGGACAAACTGTGGCTCAGAAGCTCCTGAAGGAGGATGCAGCTCACCCAGGCTCCTGATGTGTCCTAAATCCAACTGCTGGACACCCCAAAACCTGGGATCCAATGGTTTTCCTTCATTTTATTTCAGCCAAAAAAGGGGGAGTTGCTCCAGCAGGCTGCCTGAGGTTCCCTGTCCTCATTTGCAGCTCTCTTGCTGCCTGTGCTCTGCAGTGGGTGATGAATATTTCAGGATTCTCTTCCATCCGCCTGCAGCACACAGCTGATTCCAGCATGAAAAATTCAACCTCAAGCTGGGCTGGTGGGGACGAGCCAGGCCCGGGCTCCCACCGAGGCTTCTCTTCTCACGAGCAGCAGCGCCAGAGGAAACGGCCTCAACTTGTGCCACTTCTGCCATTTTTTAGGGGAAAATTCATGGTGGGAAGGTTGGCCCAGCCCTAGCAGCAAAGCCGCCATTCCCAGAGGGATTTAAATCCTGTGGATGTGGCACTGGCTTGACACTTCTGGGGATGGTTGGACTCGATGGGTTTTGAAGGCTTTTCCAGCCTCAGTGATTTTATAATTCTCCCTCTTTCCCCCTTTTTAGGGGCTGGGGTCTGCAGGGTCCTTGGAGCTCTGTAGGTTCCTGGTTTTCCTTTGCAGGGATCTCTTTGGGGTGGTCAAAGATAATCCCAGCAAGGCAGTAGTTACTGGGTGAGAGCTGTGGACATCAGGGGAGATTAATAAATGTGCTTTAGTGGTGCTCCTGCTCCTTCTTGCTGTTACTGCCTCAAATCCACCACCACGGGCCTGTTCCATGGAATCACTGAGTTACTGAGGCTGGAAAACACCTCCAAGGTCTGGCCAAATCCCACCAGGCCCATGACCCACATCCCACCCCAGAGACTCTGTCACTGCCCAGGGAAGGGAGTGGGGACTCCCCCCAGAACAGGGACCAAATGAATCAACCCCCAAAAAAGGGCTGAGCATCCCCTCTGCAGCCAGAGTGAAGGTGCAGGGATTTGGGACACTCCAAGCTGAATCCCGGGAAACTGAGGCTGGGATGGAGTTCCAGATTCGGGTGAGTGAGCTGAGCGTGCTGGGGGGGGGTGGAAAATGCTGGATTCCTATGCAAATCCAGGCCTTGCTCGCAGCTGCCAAGGACTGGGAGCGCTGGAATGTAGGAGGCGCTGCTCCCACCTTGGAAAAGGGATTGTGGCCTTGGGATGTGGCTCCATGAGAAATGTCCCATGGGCAGGGGGCAGTTCCTGCTGTTCCCAGGTGTGTTTGGGGAGGAAAGGTGTCCTGAAGGGTGGGAATCATGTCCTGGAAGGCAGGAATTGTGTCCTGGAGGTGGCAATTGCATCCTGAAGGGAATCGTGTCCAGACCAGTACTCCACTGGGAGACCCCAGCACGGGGAATTCTCTGTTAAATCACCTCATGCTCTGAAGCTCCATCACGCTATGGGGCTGGGCAGAAGGGTTTTTTGAGGTGACCTAACTGAGAAGCATGGTCAGGAATTCTCAGCAGTGCTTCACCATGGTGCCTTTCCCACTGCTGGCATCCGGGGGTGTGCCTCTCCCTGATGGCTGCAAAATGGAACATGGAAAACACATTACTGCAGTGCACTCCAGGACAGGCAAAAATAGATCCCCGCTGTGGAGCAGCTCATCCCTGTCTCTGTGTAAGAACAGCTGTAAAAGGGATGTTTTGTGTGGCTGCAGCCCCAAGCAAATACACCTGAGCTCCACCCTCACGTGTTCTGGCTGGAAAACTCCTCCAGGCTTTCCCAGCACTTTTTTTCCCTGCTGGAGGAACAGTTTTTTGCCTCCATTTCCAAATCCCTGCTGGAATTGTGTAGGGTTTATCATTTCTCGTGTTACATGGGGCTGAACACTCAGATCTGTTTTGTCAGGGTGTGAACCAGGGTCCCCCCTCCTCCCAGGGCTGTGGCTCAGCCCAGCCTCATGGAAACCACTTTCCCTTCCCTAATGGCTCCTGCAGACACATCCATCAATATTTCAGCCTCCACAATTTCACCCTGAGACCTTCTAAAGGCCAGGGCCATGCTTTTTGTGGAATTATTTATGGATCTTGTGTGAGGAGCAGCCTGTTAATCTCTGTCACTTTCCTGAGGGTGGCTTTAGAGGGGTGCAGGGACCCGGAGAAATCCTGTTTACTCAGCCCCAGAGGAGGGTGAGAAGCATCAGCAATGCCATCCTTGGGAAATTATCATTAAACGGATGATTAATGGCAATTCTCAGCCGTTATTAAAGGAATTCAAGTGGCTGAGGTTCAGGTTTCAGCACAGGGTGGGATTCTTGGGGTGTCTGTGCTGGGCCAGGAGTTGGTTGATGATCCTTGTGGGTCCTTTCCAAGCCAGGATATTCCATGATTCTTTGGTTACTGATATAATTATTGCTGATATTATTATTACTGTTATTATTACTGGTATTATTATTACTGATACTATTATTAGTGATGTTATTAACCAGTGGCACAGGCTGGTAGGGTTAGAACCAGTTTTTGGCAGCATTGGGCACTGTTAAGCCCAGTTTGATGGCAGACAACCAGCAAGGCGTGAGTTCAGGGACCAGCAGCTGGAGGTTTTCACTGGAAGTTTTCCCTGTGAATTTTCCCAGCAGTGGGTTCACCTTTTATCTCCTCCTTTGTGTACGAGATGATGATTTATGTGATTTATGATTTATGCATTTCTACAGAAAATCTGCTGGCACAGGGAAGCAAAATCCTTAATTTCATGTTCCCAGTGACATTAATTATTCACCTGGACAAGGCTTTGGTTAAAACCTGACTCAGCTAGAACTGGCTCTTGCTGTGAGGAGCTCTGAGCCTGGTCTGGCTGTGGAATCACATTTGGTTGGGATCAGATTTTTCCCTGTCTGGTGCCTCCGTGCCGGCGGATCCGACGTTCCCGTGTTCCGGCTGTCGCCGTCCCTGGCCACAGCCCAAGGTCAGGAGATGCTGGCAGTGCAGAATTGATCCCTCAGCCATCTCCTTTCCCAAATCCCATTGCCCTCTAATGGCCAGCACAGAATTTGCACAGCAGAGTGGACAATTCTGAGGGTGGGAGAGGAATTCTGGAGGAACTTGTTCTGTTGGGATGCTCTGAATTTCCAGAAGTCCCTAGAAAAACCTTCAGGGAGTAGATTGGGTTTGGGGTGCAAAGAGAAAAGGTGTTGATAGCACCATCCTCAGGTGGAGATGGAGGGAAAAGTGGGATGAATGAGGGCGGGAAATTGGAATGGGTTATCCCAGAGAGGTTGTGGATTCCCCACCCCTGGAAGTGCCCAAGGCCAGGCTGGACAAGGATGGTGGAAGGTACTGGGGCTGGAATTGGATCGGGTCCCTTCCAACTCAAGCCATTGCAGGATTCTGTGATTCTGCCAGTTTGGAGGTTGAGAAGAAACAGGAAAAAAGACATTTTTGTTTTCCTGTGGAGTGAGGGAGGAGTGGAATATTCATTCAAACCAAAAAAACCCAGCAATAAATGGCTTTTTTGGGGAGCTGAGAGCAGGGAAAGGTGCAGTCCATGGCTCCGGCACAGCAAATTCCAGGTAATTTGGGGATCTTTTCCTCCTGCAGTGGAGGCTTTTGAGCAGCAGATGTCACATTTGTACCACACAACGAGAGGTTGTAGCTACACACGGAGTAACCACGGGTGTCCCACAGAGGAGGGGCTCTCACTCTGGTGAGGGAATAAATCAGGTGGGAATAAATCAGATATAAAATTATATATAAATTAGAGAGAAAATCGAGTATTTTTCTGAAGTTTCTACTCCCGGTCACTGAAGGAGGTTTTTCTGATCTCAGTGCAGGGCTCACCCTCTGCTCAGGGCTGGGAGGAGTTTGGGTGTGAAGAGGTCAGCACCTGGTTTTCTGCAGGAAAAGGCAGCCCAGGCTCCCGGTTTGTAGCTGAATCTCAGCAGGTAATTAAGAAAAAACAATTCTCTACATTTGCTTCAAATCTCGCTGTCCTTGGAAAATTCTGGAGTGCTCCCAAAGGCTGGAAATGAGTAAGAAATAGATTTGAAGGTGGCAGAAAAGCTGTGATGGAACTTCCTGTCAAGCCTCATTATAAAGGAATTCAGCCTTCCTGGCTGACTTGGCAGGTGTCACAACACCTGGGAATGATCTTTTTGCTGCAAATTTGGAGTTTTAGGGCCCTGGCAATGTCAGAAATGACCCCACTTCACCCTGTTTTTCCTGTGCTTCATGCTGGATTTTACAGAACACAACAATTACTTCCTGTTCAGACAGAATTTTAATACAGAAATCTCTGTAAATACATTCATTACAGCTCATAAAAAACAACTTCTGGATTTTTACACCCCAGTCAAACCCAGGTGGAGTTTCCAATCCGTTCCTGGCTTAAATAAAGCAGCAATTATCCAAAGAGGAAGGAGGCTCTACTCTTCCAGCAACATCCATCCTCATCCAACATAACCTCACTCCTCAAACTGAGGACTGAAGTTCCCTCACATCCGTGCTTTGCTGGGAATGGCATCCTCAACAGGGAATTTAAGGACTGTGGAGAGAATCCAGTCCACAGGATTTTCCCAGAACAATTCCCAGTGTATCTCTTTACTTATTCCATGTCCAGCCCAGACCCTGAGGACACAACCTCTCTCCCCAGGGCAGGAAGGGTTTGATTTTCTCCAGGACTTGCACATGAAGGAGAAATCTTTGTGTTGCTGAGGGCAGAGAGGGCTGAAAAAGATCCAGAAATGGAGCAAAAAACAAAACCAAAAAAAAAAAAAAACCAAAAAAAAAAACGAACGAAGTTTGCAATTCCCAAACCTGCAGCAGCCACACTTTCCCTGCTCCCCTCAGCTCCGGCCCCAGAGGAGCAGAGGAGGAGCAGCCTCATCCCGAAGTGCTGGCCTCGCAGCTGGGGGTGTTCAGCAGCTCTTGTAACTTACTCCCAGTTTACACCTCAGTGCAAGGGGTGACCCTGCTCTGCTTCTCCTGGGCAGCAGCTCAATGTCACCATGGAGCTCCTCACTGCCTGAAATCCCAAATCTTTCAAAGCAGCTCTCAGATAGTTCTTAAGGAGAAGAGGGAGATGGTCTGGGATGCCTTTGTCAAAAGTGGAGGAATCGAGGGAGAAATTGTTCCTGGAAACTTCAGATGCCTCACCCAGCTCTGCTTGGGAAGCCTCAGACTCTGGGATTCATTTGGGTCTTTAAAGCCTGCATGGAAAAAGAGCAGTTAAACCCCAGCAGATTCAAGGAATTGCATCCCAGAGAATTGTCATTCCCACCTGAATTACCTGGGCTGGAGGTGGGGGTTTGCCTTTGGGAAGGGGCACAGGAGGAGCTTTTCTCTCTGGAGCCTGGAACAAAAAGGGTTTCAATGTCACTGGGGATGTCAGAGCAGCTGCAGAACCTCCCCAGCCACCCTTGTCCTGCAGCATCTTTCTGCTGGGAATGCTGAGGGTGGAGAGGAATCATCTGTCCACGTGCAACAAAATACAAACACAAGGGATCTAGGTCTGTTTCAGAAGATACTGAGCTGTTCCCAATATTTAAATATCCATATTCAAGCTCATAGAGTGGGATTTAAATGTGGTTTATAATTGATACATGGGGATATTTTATATTTCTATCTTATATATCTTATATTTTATCCTATTTATTTTACATTTTATACTGTCCTGACCCAGTGTTCATGCAGGCAGCACCCTGCAGTTGTGTCACTAGAGTGAAGATGGATTTTACACCCTCGTGGCAGGAGGTTCAAGTGCTGAGATGGTGAATATTTGAAGGCAGGTATTTTCTTTTAATTAGGATGGTTTGGGTTTATGAATGAGAAATAGAACCATTCCTCTGGGTTCTCAGCCCATCTCTGTCATACAGGCACCTGCAGTAGCAAAGTTACTCATCATTTAAATTGTGTTTACACCTGAAATCCTTCTTGGTTTAAACTCCAGCTACTGAGTTGTGCTCCTGATGCCTTGAAGAGCTCCCTGGCTGGTGAGGAATATTTGTGCAATTTAGGATTACTTGGCCAAAAAGATTACTCCTACTCTTAAAATCTCTGCTTTGAATAGCTGTGATTTTAAATTTTTACTTTAAATCACAGTCAGAAGCTGCAAATATTAATTGGAATCTGATAGGGATGTGGGAAGCTGCAGGGTTGTACTCACAAACTTCTGCTCCGGGTGGGAAGAGCCAGGTTTGGTGGCAGGAATGGGAGGTGGGGGACCTTTGGGCCTCAGGGCAGGCTGGAAAAAACCAGAATATAAAAGAGTTTCCCCCTATGTGTGCACCGTGTGTGCATCCACATATTCCTGGGGAACATGCAGGCTGGAGCTGGATGAAAAAGTGATTTAAGGGTGCAGGGATGCTGCCCAAGAGAACAGACCCCACCTGGAGCTCAGGGGTGTCCCTCTGGGATCAGATGATCTCCAGGGGTCTCTAGGGGTTTGTGATGCAGGGACATTCCCACATTCCCACAAATACACACACTCTGGTGCTGGGGTTTGTTCTCCTGAGGTGGAGGCACAGGAAGAACTTTCTTATCAATTCCCTGGAACAGGAACGGAGCCCTTATCTCACCCCATGGTTATCTCCGTGTGTCCCTGCCTCTGGTCACTCGGGGACCCAGAGCACTCCCCATGCCACCATTCCCTTCAGAAATCTGGGAATCTCATGCTGGGATTTTCAGCACTGTCCCCTCAGCATTTTGGGGATCTCATGGAAGTGCAGCCCCTTTGGCTGATGGTTTGAGCCCTGGGGACAGTCCCGGCTGTCCCTTGCTCTCACCTTCTGGGCAGGTGGCACCAGCATGGGCTGCTCTCTGCAGCTCTGCTCCTGATCCACAAAGACCTGGTTGGTGGCTCCAGGTCCCCTCCTGGTCTGGTGGCTGTCAAAGATTTCATATCATGGTCAGTTTTAGTTAACTGAAGAAAAATCCTCATAGCTGAAGCCCTGCTTTACTCCTGCTGCTGTTTTGTACCCACGTCCTTGATTTCTTTCTTCCCTTTATTCATTTGGGATTATTAAGGTTTTATCAAGAGTTCCATTTCAACTCTTCCATCCCTTCCCAACCATGGGATTTCTGAAACATCTCCACAAGTCTCATGGACTATTCCTTTCCAGAGGTCTAATTCCCTCCACCCCCACTGCAAACTCTGCTTCCACCTCTGCAGGGATTTCCTGGCTTTGGGTGGATGTGGGAAGGATTTACCTCTTGTGGAAGCCTCGGAAGCGGGTGAGCAGCACGGCTGCAGCTGCAGTGACAGCCAGGACAGCCAGCACCCCCACAGCCACAGCGATGCCTGGCAGGGACAGAAACAACCCTTAAACATCTGGGAATCACTGAGGGCAGGGACAGAAACAGTTTCTTAAACACCAGGGAAGCCCTGTGGGCAGGAACAGAACCAGTTCTCAGAATATCCCAGAACCCCTGAGGCTGGGAGACACCCAATAAGCTCCACCATTATTAAGTTTCCCATCACCACTGATGAAGGGGTTTTATTAACTCTGTTTGTTCTCATTTTATGACTGCTGCTCCTGCCACAAATGGTGATGGAAAGGGTTCCAATTCCTGCCGGTTTTGCAGTATTTGAAGTCAGTTGTTGCCTGAGCTGTCCTTGGGCTAAACCAACCCTGCCCTTTCGATTCACCCTCAAAGATCCTTCCCTGTCCTTCCTCTCCTCTGTCTCAAGGGCTGCTACCCAGAGGGGGGCGCAGACCTTCAAAATGCCCTCATATAAAGTTTCTCACAATTTTCAACAAAACTACTCCAAAGCCTCAACCAAACCAGAGGTTCAGAGCTAATGATGAGGGTGAAGAGACGACAAAGTATTCCATATTATAAACGAAATAAAGGTGTTTTTTTTTTTCCCCTAACATGTGGAAATCTGGACACAAATGATCTTCCTTCAGAGGTGGATCAGTTAAAGACCATGCAAATGATAAATCAACTTGTCCGGCTCCCTCACAGCAAAGCCTCTGGGATCCTGGCTCCACTTTGAAGGGACAGGGAGCTCGTTATTCCAAGAATAAAAAGGAGAAGCCTGTTGCTCTCATCTCCAGAGGGAATCAATTGTCAGCTTAGAGAGAAAAACACCTTCTCTACTCATGCCTGCAGGATTGAGAGGCGCTCAGAAATCCCCGGAGATAGTGTTGGCAAGGAAATGGGCATTTTGGTTGGATTTGAAGACAAGTTTCTTCATGGAAGGGGTTGTCCAGCTCTGGGACAGGCTGGAATTCCCATCCCTGGAATGGCTGGAAAAACCTGTGGCTGTGGCAGTTGAGGACACGATTCAGTGCTGCTGCTCACTTGATGAGCTTAAGGATTCCAATTAACAATTGAATGAACCACTCTGGTGCTGGGCTGTTCCCCTGGAGCTCCCCAGCTCCTTTGGGCAGACAAAGCCCCCCAGGGGCTGCACCCAAAAATGGACAGATAGTCACGGGTTTCCCACTTTTATAAGTTTGGTCCATTGGCACATTGGAGTTAATCTCCCAATTCCAGCTGCAGGGAATGAAGGGATTTCCTCCAAGTTTGCTGCCCCCAGCTCCCTTTTGTTTGCATCTCTGAGGCCTGAAGCAGTGAGGTGTCCTTGGCTGCCAGGCCTGGAGAGGAATTGCTGTGTCTGCCCAAAGTGGGGAAGTAGCAGCTGCCGCTGGGTGTGGAGTTTGGAGTTCCACACTAAAGAGCTGCAGGGTCACAAATACCTGGGAAATGGAAAAGCTAAAACCCTGAGGCATCACTTCCAGCCAGGAAAGGACAGATTCCAGGGTGCCAGGAAAAGACAGGACAGATTCCAGGGTGCCAGGAAAGGACGGATTCCAACACTTACTGGTGAGGGCTGAGGAGCTGTCACAGTTGGGGGGTGTCCACCCCTCCTCACACTGGCACTGCAGCTCATGGTCACACACCTGGGGAGCATAGAGTAGGGACACCCTCAGCTGGGGACATCAGCAGGGTCACAGAGTTTCTGGGTGAGGATGCTTTTTAATTTCTCATTTATCTGGGCTAAAATTTAGCACAAAAAGGAGCAGTTGTGGTTGTTAAAGGACAGTCCTGATGTCATGCACCTTTTGCTTATGCAGTGAAAGCTGCACTGCAGAGTTAATTATTTATCTGTAGGTCTCTGAATGGTCAAATATGAGCAGAATTCTCTTACTCAAAGCAAAATAAGCTAAAAGGAAAGAGCTGTGATACCATGGCTCAGGCACAGGGCCAGACACAGGGGCTGTGTCCACCTTCTGGGCAAAAATATTGATGTTACATCAGGTGAGATGTGTTTTCATCAAATTTTTTGAAGTTTCTAACTCCTCAAATTTGACAGATTTGTAGCAGTGACTTAAACCCTGTCAGCAAGGAGGTCTGAGGCTGATCTGCATCATTTTCTTGGGGTTTTAAAGTGAGAAACATCAAATGCTGGTGTCTTACAGCATGGCCAGAGCACTTGGCAGAGCAGTTGGTGGATCTGAAGACCTCCTCAGCATGGACACACTCCCCGTGGCTGCACACCTGGAACAAGAGCAAACCACGGGGATTTGGAGCTTCCAGGACAGGCAGAGCTTGCACTTTATCCTGTGAGGGGATGGAGAACAGCAGGAGACACAGAAACTGCTCTGGAAATCCCTCAGACCCCCTTTAGGAGCGGGAGATGAGGGGTTAATTTCAGTTTGGGTGTTTTGTAGAAAAGGGAGTGACAGAGATGTGCAGACATCAATCCCTCACCCCTCCCTTCCAGGTAGGAATATTCAGTAAAGTGATTGGAAGCAGCACCCAGTGATGAGGAACATCCATTCTGGATATAATTAAATGTAGTAACACACTAATGATCCCCTAACCCCTCACACAAAGCTGTGTTTCTGCTGCCACACACCTTTGTGTCAGTGAAGGCAATAAAGCAGCAGCCAAGCCTAAGGAATTTGGAATGCTGCCAATCCTTGTTTGCTTTGCCACTAGTTTGGGATAGAAGTTGGGAAAACAGCAGAAATTTGGGGTCCACTCAGCCCTCCCTGTTTAAAATCATCCTTGTGCAAGAGAGGCTTATATAAATAAAACTGAAAGAGGGGGGAAAATAAAGGAAAAAATTATTATCCACTCACCATCCCATTCCCACACTTGGTTCCATCCAGGATCATCCCTGGGTCCTCCTCTCCACTCCTGGGGAAACTGCCTTTGCAGGAATTAAAGGACAGCAGGCTCCCATCCCGAGGCATCTCCCTCCCTCCGGAACAGTAGAGTTTTCCACACATTTTGTCTCTGGAAGGGGAACAGGAGCTGTTACACCAGGGACATGGCCCAGCAAACCCCTCTGTGTTGGCTCTCTTGCAGCCTGAATTCCAAGGAAATGGCTGCACCAGGGAATGCTGGTGTGGGCAGCTTGCTTTGAGCAGGTGACAAGTTCTTAAATCCTGCTGAGCTTATTCGGGAGCACAAATTCATTCACAAAAATGAGCATTTAACTGATACTCCTTCGCTTCTGAGGTTCAAATTCCCTATCCCAAAATCCCTGGAGCTCCCTGCACACCCACACACTCATCCTCCCACATTCCTGCACACACCTTTGCTCTTTCACCTTACAACTGAAACCCACTTTTCTCAGAAACGATTTCCTACAGTTTTCACACAGAACAAGGAAGAACACCGGGCTGTGCCACGAAAATAGGGTGTTCCCGGTTTCTGTCTCATAATTTGCGTAGGAATGGTCCCTCTTCCCAAATCCCAGCGCATTCCATACCCTAGTGCTTACTTTTTCTTGCACGGGAGGTGGGTGCCCCGCTCCTTCCTGCAGTAGCCGAAATACGCCCCCTTCTCGTTCATGTGGTAGCAGGAGGCTGGGCCGTCTGTGGCCTCTGCAGGGGGAAAAGGCAGTAGGATGAGTTTGGGATCTCTGCCTGGGAGAACTGGGAATATTCCACCTCCTTCCTTTGCTTAGCAAACGGCCTTTCCCAGCGACGTGCCCGTGGGCATTTCTGGCACTTCAGCCTGGAGAAGGGAAAGCTCCAGGGAGAGCTCAGAGCCTCTTCCATCCCCAGTTGAGGGATGGAGGGACAGGACATAGGGAATGGTTTCCACTGCCAGATGGGATATTGAGAAGGAATTCCTGTCTGTGAGACTGGGGAGGGGCTGGGATGAAATTCCCAGAGAGGCTGTGGCTGCCTCTGGATCCCTGGAAGTGCCCAAGGCCAGGCTAGAGCAGCCTGGGACAGGGGGAGGTGTCCCTGCCATGGCAGGGGTGGCACTGGATGGGATTTAAGTTCCCTTCCAGCCCAAACTGTTCCCCAGTTTTGGGAAATGCTGCTTTCAGAAGCACCACACATGCCAAATTTGGCTGTTAAATTGAAGGACAGATATTTCCTCTTCCTCACTGGCTAAAATCACTTCCCCAGCTCCATTCCAGCTACCTCAGGCACATTCTGCAAAAGAGAAATGTGCTCCCCACTTCCCATTTCTCTGGAAGCACAGAGCACCCCATGCCCTGAGCTCCAGTTCATGAGTTACAGGCATCAACAGTGGCAAATATAAAACTCATCATTAATTATGCTCTTAATTATGCTATGAACCGGAGCTGATTTTTATTGATGGGCTATCCCTGAGGTACAATCTGAGGGTTTGGAGAGGCAGAATTCCCTTCTCTGTCTATCCTGTGGCCAAGGCAAGGAGAGTTTGAGAGGTGCAGGGGGTACTCACGGGGTCCGAAGGCATCTTTGCACTGGCTGTCACGGGTGGGACAGGTGCCCATGTAGCAATATCCCTCTCCAAAGCTGCAGGGGTGCCCGTTGACCCGGAATCGATCCTCAGGGCAGCTGGAGGAGAGCCCCGTGCACATCTCAGCCAGGTCACAGTCGTGTTTCACCGCCCGGCACACAGAGCCCGACTTCTTGTACTGAGAGAGGGAGAAAATGCCACATTCGGCAACCAGCTCGTCCACACTGCTCAAAGACACCCAGCTGAAGGGTTAAAATGGGCGGGGAAATCTCACTCCACAGGCTGTGTGAGGAGCAAGATCCACATCTCACTCCATGCTGGATGTGGCATCTCACAGGGGTTTTGCCTCGCGGCTTTTATTCCCAGGAGAAAATGGCCAACCAAAGAGCTCATTTCTCCAGGATGATGGAAGACTGAGAGAGCTAATGGTGGTGGTTTGGGATGGAATGGTGGGCAGTGACAGGATCTGAGGGAAAGGCTAGAGCTGTGCCAGGGAGACTCAGGCTGGAGAGCAGGGAAAGGTTGGATTTTGGGAAAAGCTCTTCCCCCAGAGGGAGCTGGCACTGCCCAGGCTGCCCAGGGAATGGGCACAACCCCGAGGCTGCCAGAGCTCCAGGAGCGTTGGGACAGTGCTCCAGGGATGCCCAGGGTGGGATTTTGGAGTGTCTGTGCAGGGCCTGGAGATTAGTGGATCAGTGATCCCACATGTCCTTCCAGCCCAGGACATTCCATGATCCCATGACTGTGCCCTTGTCAGTGCTAATAAACACTGGGGATCTGTTCTGGTGGAAGGTGAGTTCCTGCTTGATCCCAGCAGGGGTGAGGAGCTGGAGAGGGGAGGGGTCTCACCTGGCAGCTCTCACAGGGGAGGGGAGAGGGTCTCACCTGGTAGTTCTCACAGGGGAGGGGAGCAGGTCTCACCTGGCAGCTCTCAAAGAAGGGGAGAGGTCTCACCTGGCAGTTTTCACAGCAGTCCCCATGTGCACAGGCAGCCCCCGAGCTCAGCTTGCAGCTCTCGGGGTCGCAGCACTCGTTCGTGCACTCCTGGGACAGAAGCAGCGGTCAGAGCTGGGGACAGTGACACCTAACCACTGTCCCTGGCTGGGATGGGGTCTGGGACCTGCCCTTGGCTTTGCTAGGAAGCACTTTCCCTACAATGCCTGGGTTTGGAGGTGGGAGCTGTGCAGGGAGCTCAGGGTTTGGGCTGAGCAGTGTGGATGGCTGTGTCCCAATCTTGGTTCCTGCCACCCCTCCTAACTAACCAGACCTTCACCTTCCCCAGCCCTCAGCAACTAGATAACCACAATTTCTACTTCAGCAAGATCTGTTTCCACCTCAGGGACCATCAAAAAGCAGCTGCTGTCCGGCCTGGACAAAGCCCTCTGCCTTTGCCAAGGATTCTCCCATTCCCAGGTACCTCAGGAGTGCCACAGTCACATTCCTCTCCCTTTTCCAGGAATCCGTTCCCGCAGGATGGAGGGGCGATTATGCTGCTCAGCTCTGGGATATTGGTCAGGCACCTGGGCATGTCAGCCAGCATGAACTTCTCAAAGCTCTGGAGGCTGCAGGAGCTGAATTCCTTGGGAATCACAGAGCTGTGTTGGGAAAACAGGAGGGTTTATGGTAGGATTGGCATAGGCAAGGAGGAGAAACAATTCTCCCTTTGGGAAAGAATTGGAACAGGTGACTGTCCGCACAACTTTTGGGTGTGAACATTTTTCTAAATATACACGGACTAAAGTAGTTTTGTATTGGGTTTTTTGTGGGGTTTGTATCTGGGAATAATTGACAATAGCTTGGCATTTCATCCATTTATTTATTTTATAAATTATAAATTTATTTTACATATAAAATAATAATAATGTATAATTATAATTTATTTTAATATAAGTTATAAATTTATTTTTTAAAACTATTTGAATGGAATAACCTCACTGGACAAAAACACTGCCCCAGTTTGGAAGCCGTCAGCTTGTCCAAAAGCCATTTTCAACCCTGTTTTTAGCCCCACCTGACAGTGTCTGTCATGATGCAAATGTCATCACTGCACGAGCAGGCCTCGGTGTCGTGGCTCATACCCAGGTTGTGCCCCATCTCGTGGGCCATGGTGGCTGCCACTGCAATCTCATTCCTGTTGTGGTCCTGGGGAGCCAAGGAAAGCTGTTTGTTATTTGCTTGTGTGTTTTAGAACAAGCAGCAGCAATAGAGAAAACAAAAAACACAGCAGTTTTCCTTCAAGTGGAATTATCCTCATGATGCACAAGGGCTCACGTGGTGCTCAACCCATCTGTGCATCTATTTGGATTACATTTTATTATTTAATAAAGGTATTTATAAAGTAGACACCATGGAGGTGTGTATATTGCGTGTTTGCTTTCTTTATCCCCTGTACTTCATTTAAAATAAAATTCCAGAATGGTTTGGGTTGGAGGGACCCTTAAATCCCATCCAGTTCCAGGGCAGGGACACCTTCTCCTATCCCAGGTTGATCCAAGCCCTGTCCAACCCAGCCCTGGACACTTCCAGAGCTCTGATTGTGAATTTTTACAGCCTAATAATGAACCAGACAACTGAAAATGCCCTAAACCCAACATTATTCACAAAGGTTCCTCACTGGCAGAGTGAAAAACATAGGAATGCCTTTAAAAAATGAAATAAAAATGGATCAGACCTGAATAATACCTGCAGAGTATAAATCACTGCATATGGATTTGAGGAAGGCCAGTCCAATCGTGGTCCCCTCAAAGTCCAGGCCTCTGGAAGGAAGCACAAAGGCACAAGGAGATCAAGACTGTGCCCAGGATGGGGCTCTGAACCCAGGGATCTTTCCAAACCAGGCTGGAGGTTTCATCCCCTCCTCTAGCTCTAGTAAAATATTTACTTTTAATTTAATTAATTTTAATTTCATTTATTTTTAAGATCCCTACAAATAAAATAAAAACCAAACTTGAAGCATTTTTCATTTTGATATTTACTTAAATTCTGTGGTGTTTCATTGGATTTAAATCATCTGTTGGATGATGGGGAGGGTTGGGGAGGGGA